CAGAGGGGCCGGGGCTGGGGGTATCCGTCTTGGGGCCGCTCTCCCAAGAGCTCAGCCCCCCTTGGGACGCCGATAGCTGGTTTGTTCCAGCCCTTGGCAGGCTCCGCTCTGTTGGCCCAACAAGCCTTCGTCCAGAGCAGCCAGGGCACGTGCCCCCGGAGCTAGCCCCTGCCCTGCCCGGCACTGGCCATGCGGGCGGCTGCTCGGGGGAGAGGGGGCTGGCTCGGGGAGCCATGGGCAGCCCCCTACCGGGGGGGGGGGGATTTCCGTGCGCAGCTGGTTTGTTCCAGCCCTTGGCAGGCTCCGCTCTGTTGGCCCAACAAGCCTTCGTCCAGAGCAGCCAGGGCACGTGCCCCCGGAGCTAGCCCCTGCCCTGCCCGGCACTGGCCATGCGGGCGGCTGCTCGGGGGAGAGGGGGCTGGCTCGGGGAGCCATGGGCAGCCCCCTACCGGGGGGGGGGGGATTTCCGTGCGCAAGGGGGTCTGTGGGTCAGCTGGAAATGTAAGAACTGCTCTAAACATCCCTGCGGCTCCCACCTCATGGCCTCCTGCTGGGCGTTAGGAGGAGACCCTGGGATATGGGGCTGCTCAGGGCCCTGTGGTGCTTCGGGTGCCCCTGAGCCACCCACCCTGCACCTTGAGCTCTGCGGAGGGGCCAGCAAGGTCCAACAAGAGTCAGCCGGGTGCGGGTTAACCCTTGGGCTGCCGGAGCGCCGCCCTGGGCGGTGGGGCCGTACCCCAGAGCCCTAACCCACGTGGGATGGGCCACGATGGGGGGGCCGTGTTGGAGCTGGTGCAGGTGACAGGCAGCCTTGGTCTGTGGCAGGCTCGTGACCTAGTTCGGCCTCCTCTGGGCGGGACTGATCCCGCAGGACTAGCACGGCCCCGGACCCCAGAGCGGGTGTTCGATACCCGCTCACATCCCCGGTCCCCAGGCCGCCGTGTCCCACGGCCTCCTGGGTGATTTCCAACACCGGGTGTCGGCGCGCCCCCAGCTGGGCAGGGGCCAGTCTGTCCCTGCTGCCCACCTCATAGCTGGGTTTCGAGCATGTCCCACCAGCACTGAGAGTGCCTGTGGAGCGTCCCACTCCCTGCTGGTCTTTCCGAACTCCCAGCTCACGGCCCATCCGGGAGAGCTGCCCTCCAGCGAGGGGGGCACCAGGCTGCTAGCAGGGAGCTTGTTTGCTCCTCTCCGAGCCTCCTCCTAGCTCTTGAGCCAGGCCCAGGCCCGAGCTGCAGATCCCGGAGCTGGGGGCCTTGGGTGTGGGGCTCCCCCCGTGCGTGGCTGTGCTGTCTCAGGGAGCCCTGGGGGGCACGGCAGTAACGCTCTCCGTCTCTCTCCTGCGCCAGCTGGGACGAGAGCAGCTCCATTAGCAGCGGGCTCAGCGATGCCTCCGACAACCTCAGCTCGGAAGAGTTCAACGCCAGCTCCTCCCTCAACTCCCTCCCGTCCAGCCCCACGGCGTCCCGGAGGAACTCGGCCATAGCGGTACGAGCCGGCGGTCTGTGCCCAAACGGGGTGGGGCCAGCCGGCCTAGCAACGGGCGGCCCGTGTCCCCAGTGGGAAGGGGAAGCGTTGGCCACGTGGGCACCTGCTGGCTGAAAACTGGTCTGTGACCTGCCATCTCACCCCACGTGGGGCTGCAGGGGGGCAGCTGGCTTAGCCCCACTGGCTCCAGCTAGGCTGCCCTGTCTGCTGCAGGTTACTGAGGCCCCTGGGCCATCAGAGTGTGGGGCTGGCCCTCTCCCTGGGAGTTAGCCTCCAACCCTGGGACAGGAGCTGAATGAGAGCGGCCTTTGTGGCCGTGGCACTGGGGTGCGAGTCTGGGCACCTGGGGTCTCTTCCTGGCTCCGGCACGGCCTCCGCGCCTGGTCTCTAGCACTCTGCAGCGGGGGAAACTGAGGCACGGAAGGGGACAGTGGTGAGGACGCACCGCGGGTCAGTGGCAGAGCTGGGAAGAGACCCAGGACCCCGGTCGAGAGCGGCCCCCTCACCCCTGTCCCCGCCCCGCGCAGCTGCGCACGGACTCGGAGAAGCGCTCGCTGGCCGAGAGCGGGCTGAGCTGGTACAGCGAGGCCGAGGAGAAAGGGCCCAAGAAGCTGGACTACGACAGCGGCCG